GTTTTATAATTTTGTTGATAATCCTAACCTGTTTGTTACCCCAGGATGATACTCCTAACCTGTTTGTTAACCCAGGATGATAATCCTAACCTGTCTGTTATCACAGGATGATAATCCTAACCTGTTTGTTACCCCAGGATGATAATCCTAACCTGTTTGTTACCCCAGGATGATAATCCTAACCTGTTTGTTACCCCAGGATGATAATCCTAACCTGTTTGTTACCCCAGGATGATAATCCTAACCTGTTTGTTACCCCAGGATGATAATCTTAACCTGTTTGTAACCCCAGGATGATAATCCTAACCCTGTTTGTTACCCAGGATGATAATCCTAACCTGTTTGTAACCCCAGGATGATAATCCTAACCTGTTTGTTACCCCAGGATGATAATCCTAACCTGTTTGTTACCCCAGGATGATAATCTTAACCTGTTTGTTACCCCAGGATGATAATCTTAACCTGTTTGTTACCCCAGGATGATAATCTTAACCTGTTTGTAACCCCAGGATGATAATCCTAACCTGTTTGTTACTCAGGATGATAATCTTAACCTGTTTGTAACCCCAGGATGATAATCCTAACCTGTTTGTAACCCCAGGATGATAATCCTAACCTGTTTGTTACTCAGGATGATAATCCTAACCTGTTTGTAACCCCAGGATGATAATCCTAACCTGTTTGTTACCCAGGATGATAATCCTAACCTGTTTGTAACCCCAGGACGATAATCCTAACCTGTTTGTTACCCCAGGATGATAATCTTAACCTGTTTGTTACCCCAGGATGATAATCTTAACCTGTTTGTAACCCCAGGATGATAATCCTAACCTGTTTGTTACTCAGGATGATAATCTTAACCTGTTTGTAACCCCAGGATGATAATCCTAACCTGTTTGTAACCCCAGGATGATAATCCTAACCTGTTTGTTACTCAGGATGATAATCCTAACCTGTTTGTAACCCCAGGATGATAATCCAAACCTGTTTGTTACCCCAGGATGATAATCCAAACCTGTTTGTTACCCCAGGATGATAATCCAAACCTGTTTGTAACCCCAGGATGATAATCCTAACCAAACAGTTCCAGTGTCTGAGATTGTGGAGATGGTGGCCACAAACGACACTGTGGGACTAGAGTCAGGCACTGAGCTGGTCTCTGGTGATCTGCTAAAACTGAACTCCATACTTCAGATGGTGGGGGAAATAACGGTCAACAAGTCTGTCCTCATTGAAGAGGATATCTTGCAAGTAAGTCTATTATATACCATCAGCTTCTCACAACCTGGCAGTCGAACCTGTTTCTGTGACCTCTGTATATGTAGGGATAGCGAGGTGACCTCTGTATATGTAGGGATAGCGTGGTGACCTCTGTATATGTAGGGATAGTGTGGTGACCTCTGTATATGTAGGGATAGTGTGGTGACCTGTGTATATGTAGGGATAGCGTGGTGACCTCTGTATATGAAGGGATAGTGTGGTGACCTCTGTATATGAAGGGATAGCGTGGTGACCTCTGTATATGTAGGGATAGTGTGGTGACCTCTGTATATGTAGGGATAGTGTGGTGACCTGTGTATATGTAGGGATAGCGTGGTGACCTCTGTATATGAAGGGATAGTGTGGTGACCTCTGTATATGAAGGGATAGCGAGGTAACCTCTGTATATGTAGGGATAGCAAGGTGACCTCTGTATATGTAGGGATAGCAAGGTGACCTCTGTATATGTAGGGATAGCGTGGTGACCTCTGTATATGAAGGGATAGTGTGGTGACCTCTGTATATGAAGGGATAGCATGGTGACCTCTGTATATGAAGGGATAGCATGGTGACCTCTGTATATGAAGGGATAGCATGGTGACCTCTGTATATGAAGGGATAACGTGGTGACCTCTGTATATGAAGGGATAGTGTGGTGACCTCTGTATATGAAGGGATAGCATGGTGACCTCTGTATATGAAGGGATAGCATGGTGACCTCTGTATATGAAGGGATAGCTTGGTGACCTCTGTATATGAAGGGATAGCATGGTGACCTCTGTATATGTAGGGATAGCAAGGTGACCTCTGTATATGAAAGGATAGCGTGGCGACCTCTGTATATGAAGGGATAGCGTTGTGACCTCTGTATATGTAGGGAAAGTGAGGTGACCTCGGTACATGAAGGGATAGCGTGGCGACCTCTGTATATGAAGGGATAGCATGGCCAGCACTTTGCCCAGCTGCCTCAACTTTCCCTAACAAAAGTCAGAAACCCATAAGAGTTGGCTGTGAACTCTAGCACGATTTCATTTTATACTGCTGAAATATCCCTAATAAGAAGATGTATTCAAAGTACCATGAGCCTCACACAACAAAACTGACCATCCCCAGAAATTTGCTGGCATCACAGATGCTGTGCTGGACACAAAGAAAGAGACATGGGATGACGCTGCTCTAGAGGTCAAGGATCAGGGGACAAAACTCCTGAAGGCTTTTGATGAGATTATATCACAAAGTGTAACTGGGCCAAATGTTACTGAAACTTTCATTGTGATGAAAAACATAGGTTCTTATTGCTTTAATTAATGTTTATGTGTTTATTGATCTAGTTAATTGTGATGATAAGCATAGGTTCTTCAGTTTTCCTTAATGTCTATGTGTGTTGATCTAGTTAATTATTATGAAAAACATAGGTTTTTATTATTTTACTTAATGTTTATGTGTGTGTTGATCTAGTTATGAGCAAACGTTTAAAATATAGAAGACATTAAATATTCTTATGAAATTTTTTCTCCAGCCATTAAAAAGGCAAGTGTGACAGGTGACATCATTTTCCCTAACGCCAACGACTCCAAGTTCCAAAATCACAGCAACTGTGTACTGGAGTCCAGAAATCAAATTTTTCTGTCTGGAGACATGTTTGACAACTCTCAAGGTTAGCTTGTTGTCTAGTTAATTTGTTTTGTTGGGCTGGCTTGAAAGTTTTTGATAAACCCCAGAACAGGTAAACATAAAATAAAAGACATGACTATAAAACTGATAATGGTTTACCATATTAAGATATGTCTATTAAACTGTTAATGATTGAATATATTTGTTGCAGAACCAGTCAACTACTCCATAGTTATATTTCAGAACAAAGAAGAAAAGTTCAAGGTTGATCCAGTATCTCAAAATAAGTAATTGTTTCTTTACATTTTTTTTTAGAAATGTGGATTTGTTGTTTATAAATTAGTAGCTTTGTTGTATTCAAATGGTAGGCTGTTGAGTTTAGTGGATTTTTGTCATTGTTAGTCAGTGTATTGAGACATTTTGGGGTCAACAGTTGACAAATTTGTTGACTGGAACATCGTACCTGTAAGATACACACCTAGCACACAACTTATTACCTCCCCCCCCCCCATAATTTAAAAAAAGTAGGTTACATGCTAAAGGTGTAAAAAAAATTTAAATACTCAAATTTGCAGATCAAAGGATCATGCAGATATTCAACTTTCAACAAAGCAAATAACATCAGATGTCATGTCATTTAGTGTCAGTAGAGATGTCAAGTTATCTAACATCACAAAACTCAGACTGACATTCAATGTGTTGAAGGTATGTGTACTTATTTGATTTGTGTGGAACATTGAGGAGGGGAGGAGGAGGAAGTAAAGGATTTTTGGGTTAACATATTTACATAAAATGTGTGTTTGAAATTAGTTGTAAAAATAAAAGCCTAGGAATTAAAATGTTGAAGCCTATGAATTAAAATGTTGAAAATAAAAGCCTAGGAATTAAAATGTGGAAAATAAAATCCTATTTGGTTTAGATTGATTATGAAGGATAATTAATCTCATTGATCTGCTGACATATTTTGCTCTTTTCTCAGGCTGGCTACAAAGATCCAGTGTGTACATTTTTAAACACGTCCATCAGGTCAGCTTGTTTGAGTTTATTAAAAATTCCTATGAACCTAATAATTTATTTATACTTGACGTTTCTGAATCAACTAAGGAGATCCGACATTTTTATAATTCAGGGACCATAACTTTTGGTCAACCAAGGGATGTAATGTGGAGACAACAGAAGGGACATTGGTTGTTTGTGTCTGTGATCACTTTACTAACTTTGCTGTCATGATGTCACCAATACACATATCTGTAAGTATAATTACACATCTAAGTGTAATTACATCTGTAATTTTAATAACATTTGTAAGCTTACTTAGATCCGTAAGTCCAATTGCAAATTATACTTATACCTTTAATGAAAGTTTAATTGTAAAACTTGTACAAATGTGTTAACAACTTGACACAGGAAAAAGATTTTGCTGCATTAAGCATCATCTCAAGTGTTGGATGTGTTATCTCCATAGTCTGTGTCACAGCTACCATCATTATATATGTGGTTGTCTGGAGGTGTGTGCAATTAATTTCTAAATCAATCTTGCAAATTTTTCTTAAATATTATTCTGTAAGATATTTAAATATCTTTTTGCTATATGAATATGTTAAAATGTGAAACTATCATACACAAGTAAAATACAAAATGTGAACATCATTTTGTTTGTTTCTATTAAATGATAAAAAACTACTGTACCAACCTAACTCACTAAGAATACAATAGTTTTAGAACCTAATGGTGAATATGGCTAATGAAGCCAAGCATGTATGCTGTTAAGGCCATAGGCTAAAACAGTAATCAGTACAGCAACACAGTTTTAGCCCCATATTTCAATACATCCTAAATAAAATGTTTCAGATTTGTGAAAAGAGATCGTTCTGTGCTCCATATAAATTTAAGTGTTTCTCTCGGCATTGGCTACATCATCTTTTTATCAGGAATCAACAGGACAGAGAATGAAGTGAGTAGTGTTTGGCCTTGACCTAAAGAACTGTTAAGTTTCTCTTCAATTTAGTTTGTAGTAGATAACCACTTTTTAATAAAGTATTCAAACACCAATATAAATTTAGCTATCTAAACTTCTTACATACCAGACAATTATAATAGAGAGTATTTCATGATCCCAGGTGGTGTGTAAGATCATTGCTGTGTTGCTCCACTACTGTTTCCTGGTTGTGTTTTTTAATCTACTTGCTCAAGGATTTGCCCTTCTCAAATCAGCCACAAGCATTTCAACTGTTTCAATACTCAAATATCTGTTGCCCATGGTATATGGTAAGCAAATATTGCACACACAGACATCAAAACACACATTAATATATAACAAACTGCACTAATGTCACAAAAACTAAAAAAAAAGCAGCTGAAACCCGGGAGTGTATCAAGGGATACCAGCCTAAAGCAGGCTAGGTTAGAACTTGTTGGAACTCTCAAATAAATCTGGTCACAGGCAAAATACTAGCATACTCTCTACTAGTGGGTGATAGGGAGATTTATTAATGTTGCTAACCACAAGTCCACTTGATAGGCTATGGTGACCACACGATGTTAATGTCATGGTGACCTCACACTGTAAATGTCCTAAGCTGTGTAAATGTAATTAAAAATGTAATTAAATTTTTCCTACAGTGATTCCATTGATCATTGTGGTCACTTCTCTGATAGTCACCAAGTCCAAAGGTTATGGTACTGACAAGTTGTAAGTTGTGAGAAGTTATGACAAATTGCAATGTATGATAAGTTCTCATTTATGACAAGTTGTAATTTATCACAAATTAATGTAAATGTTGATACCATCAGCCTCTAACTGACCATGACTGACCAACTGATGTAACCACTCAGTGCTTGCATGACCTGACCTATACTCTCTTGCAGTTGCTGGCTGTCCCCATCTGATGGATTACACTGGGCTTTTGCAGGGCCAGTCATTTTTGTTATTTCTGTAAGTCTGTTTTATGGGAGCCAGTCATTTTTGTTATTTCTGTAAGTCTGTGTTTTATGGGAGCCAATCATTTTTGTTATTTCTGTAAGTCTGTGTTTTATGGGAGCAAATAATTTTTATTTCTGTAAGTCTGTTTTATTAGCTGTGTATGACATAAACTACTGACAAGACCTAGAACACACACATTGTGTACAGTCTCAGTGTTCTGGTGTAATGTAGGACATCTCAGTGTGCAACCATCTCTCTTGTTTTCAAGACATGTCTTAGTAGATAAATGTCTGAACATATAACTAATCACACAATCACTTCACATCCAAGGCAAAAACAGATAAAATCTACTTCATTTGGCCTAATAAAAGCACCATTTTGAACCTAATGGTCCATGGAGCAGGTGAAGTAGAGTTGACCTATCTCAATGACCTTGGTATATGAAGGGATAGTGTGGTCTGCAGTATGCCCAGCTGCCTTTATTTTCCTTAACATGAGTAACATACCCATCAGAGCTTGAAGGACCCTGTTATGTTTTTACTTACACTAGCCCGGGATACAAACTCGAGACTTTTAGGTTAGCAGTCGTTTGTTGTTCCATCGGACCACATCATCCTGTATAGCCTATGTGTCATCAAGGTTACAAATGGGAACTTTTAAAATTATTTAAAATCTTCTTTTACTTCATTCTTAATTTTAGTGTTGGAAAGGATACCCTCCATCACAATTAAGTATAAGTGTCAACTGGTTATGCGCCATTGAGGCCATTGACTCTGATTTCAGCCTGCTTTTCTTTTTGGATTTGGTTTCATAGTCTTTGTCCAACCCAGTGGCGTAGCGAGGTCGGGTGTCACCCGGTGCGGCACTTAATGGTGTCACCCCCCCCCCCCCCCAGAGGCATAGAGACCCTTCGCAGGGACAAACTTTCAAATTTTCGATTTGCACCCCCCCTCGAGTTTTTCTCTATATATTTTGCTATTTTTTGCCTTGGTGTCACCCCCCTAAATGGTGTCACCCGGTGCGGTCCGCACCCCCTGCCCCCCCTCACTACGCCCCTGGTCCAACCAAGAACAAAATACAAGGCAGCAGTTGTTTGATTTTGGAGTTGTCTCTCCTAGAAGAGTGGCTGTCCCCAGCTAATGAGCCTCATCAACTTGAGGGTTCGAACTTGAGACTTTTCGGTTTAGCAATCATGAGCTTTACCGACTCGACCATGCCAACCCCTTTAAAATGTTTAAAACTTAACAAAATTATAAAAATAGCCAAATAAAATTTACAATCTTGCCTTACAATCCCAGGTGAACTTGATTGTGTTGGTGGTGGTTCTGTATGCCATTCAAACCTCACATGCCATGCAGGATAAGACAAAAACAGAACGCACAAAGTAAGTCACATACCAACTTACACATAGCTAGGATGTTAACTTTCAACTTAACCATAGCTTCTGTTAAATTCCACCTTATGTGTGTCGAATAAGCTAACAACCTATGTGGATGTTTATATAGAGTAAATTCTACTGTGTGAACTTTGTTTTGACTGATCTTGATGTGTTTATATTGATATCTAGTACGACTGATGTGTTGACTGAATCTTGCATGACTTTGATGTGTTGACTGAATCTTGTATGACTTTGATGTGTTGACTGATACCTTGTATGACTTTGATGTGTTGACTGAATCTTGTATGACTGATGTGTGGACTGATATCTTGTATGACTTTGATGTGTTGACTGATACATTGTATGACTTTGGTGTGTTTACTTTTACCTTGTATGACTTTGATGTGTTGACTGATACCTTGTATGACTTTGATGTGTTGGTGGATACCTTGTATGACTTTGATGTGTTGACTGATATCTTGTATGACTTTGATGTGTTGACTGATATCTTGTATGACTTTGATGTGTTGACTGATACCTTGTATGACTTTGATGTGTTGACTGATATCTTGTATGACTTTGATGTGTTGACTGATACCTTGTATGACTTTGATGTGTTGGTGGATACCTTGTATGACTTTGATGTGTTGACTGATATCTTGTATGACTTTGATGTGTTGACTGATACCTTGTATGACTTTGATGTGTTGGTGGATACCTTGTATGACTTTGATGTGTTGACTGATATCTTGTATGACTTTGATGTGTTGACTGATACCTTGTATGACTTTGATGTGTTGGTGGATACCTTGTATGACTTTGATGTGTTGACTGATATCTTGTATGACTTTGATGTGTTGACTGATATCTTGTATGACTTTGATGTGTTGACTGATACCTTGTATGACTTTGATGTGTTGACTGATACCTCGTATGACTGATGTGTTGACTGATACCTTGTATGACTTTGATGTATTAACTGAATCTTGTATGACTGATGTGTTGACTGATACCTTGTATGACTGATGTATTGACTGATACCTTGTATGACTGATGTGTTGACTGATACCTTGTATGACTGATGTGTTGACTGAATCCATTTCCTAGGTCAGCAGCCAGGAATGTCCTAGTTTTGTCCCCTATCCTGGGAGTCACATGGTTGTTTGGTGTTGTCGCCATCAATAATGATCTCATTGTTTTCCAATATTTGTTTGCTATTTTTAACTCTATCCAAGTGAGTTCCAATTTTTTCCTTAGCATGCTGAAACTAAACAAAATTAAATTCTGTTGATAACATTGTTTATTCCTCTGATACAATTTCATGATGGTTGTATTAAACTTTTGAAATTACTGTAAACTTTTAAAAACCTTAACACTGTTTAGCAATAAACAGTGTCACAGGTTAACCATTACCATATGTTCAAAACTAATTAGATCATAATTACATTACATTTAGATTACAATTTTAGCTTGTTGCATGTGTTAGGTACAATTATTAAAAACTTGGTTAAATCTTTATTATTTCTTTAATGCTATTCATCACTTGTACTTGAAAAGAATGCTAAAAAAAATGTTTGTAACACATTTTAAGATACAAAAATAGATTAAACAATTCTTTATCACACCAAGGATTTGCCTCAACATCTACTGCATCTATTTATTCAACCAACTTGTTTATAATGAAACTTATTTTATCCTCAATAGGCCATTTGTTGATTTTATGAAATGTTGAAATTATTTTTATTAAAATTATTTACATAATTAAAAATGCCCACATTAATTAAATGATTTATTTCAGGGTGTTTTAATTTTTGTCTTCCACTGCCTGCTACAGCACCAGGTAACCCTGTTTGAGTGAATTTATTTTTGTAGTTGTCGCAGATAGGGTACTCTACTTCATCTGCCCCATGTCTCTTGGGCACATTCGGGACATGATGATGTGTTGTTATAGTCCTATTGTCTAAGTTGTTGTTATAGTCCTATTGTCAAAGATAAGGTGTTGTTATAGTCCTATTGTCAAAGATAAGGTGTTGTTATAGTCCTATTGTCAAAGATAAGGTGTTGTTATAGTCCTATTGTCAAAGAAAAGGTGTTGTTATAGTTCTATTGTCATAGAGAATGTGTGGTAAAATCATAGTGGGAGAAAATCATTTGTGATAAGTAATAAGTTGATGAAAATTATTTTAAATCAAATATTTAATGTCCTCAGGTGAGAGAAGGGTTGAGTGTTTTAAGACACAGATACAAGTCCAAGTCTCTTACGTCCACGTCTAAATCTACAGGCAGCAGTTCTAATGTAAGCCTAAGTGTATACTGCTAGACATACAATTTTACCTGTAGTGCCAACAACCAGTATAAACTACAGACTAACTATTATATATCTGGTAATATAAATTAGTAGAATGACAGAGATACATTTTAAAATCTTGTATGAATGAATTCAACATTTACTAAAATCAGCTTGATGATTCAATAATTCTAATTGATTCTCATTGTTAATTTTAGTGGATGTTATGCTACATAAATGATTTTGGTAAAATTAATCCATTACATTTTTTTAATGCCTCAGCCCAAGAAAAATGGACTCAGTGAAGCTTCTGGTATGTCCAGCATCATCACAGACAAGGAAGGGGCAGGGGGTGAACTGGTCACCACAGCAGGTCAAAGTTGACGAGTTTGTCATAATCAGAACTGAATTTTTTTATTCTTTGTACTAGCCTCCCGTTGAGACAATACAGTTTTAAAGATTTAAAAATTAATTCACAATATGCTGTCTTTTTTTAATTAAATGGTTCTTTTTATTTTAAAGAGAACTAACTCCTTATTTTAGTCTCGCAACATTAACCACAGTTACTCCCCCTTAGAAAGAAGTGGCTCGTTGAAATGGAGGGAGGGAAGTTAACCTTAGTCCTGTCACTGCTAGGATTAAGTTTGGGTGGAACACATGTTGACATAAATCTATGCAAATGTTGAGGAGCTATACATATGTTTACATGTGTGTTTATGAACTATGGTTTACAATTCCTGAAATTAAATGTTAATATGGGTACACTTTTTTTGTCCTATTTATGTAGCGACTTAAGTTTAAATAAAAATGTGATATTTCACTTTTTGCTTAAAAGTCAAATAGAACTAAAAGTTTGGAAAGTTTAGAATGACATCCACCAGGTTTGAATATAAAACATTTTAAAAACATTTTGTCGTCTAACATTTATTAAAAAATATGTGAAAATTCAAGCTTAATAAAAGTATAAATGTAAATTTGAACAAAACAAAGATGTTGTTATAAAATTTGCAAATGCAGAGAACTTCAAAAGAATATTTTTAAATTTTTTAAGTGACATTTCAGTGTAATTTTCAACTCCCGATCATAACCTTGACGAGTTTTACTGTACAACCTTTTGATTGGGTTTAATTTTATCGGTACCGTAGGATGTAGATAAAGCTCGTGTGTTGTTTTATTTATTTATTTTTTTGCCAAAAATTTTTCAAAATGTTGTAGCCTATAGTTACCTATAAATGATAATAAAATGCATTAAACCACTAAAAAAATTGACAAAATAAAAGAATTCTAGTGTATATACGCATTATATATAATCACGTTTTTATGATCGCATTTGTATTAATA